ACAATGGGGAAAAAACATTTGGACCCACTAACCAATGGGAAATTAGGAAGAACATTTCTTCAAAGGATGGGTTATTTCATAACACTTTGTGGGGTTTTTTGAAGGTTGTTTTTGCACATGCTGAGCCATTGGCCATCTAGTCCAGGGCAGGAGGTCAGACTAGATGATCTGCTCAGGTCCCCTCCGACCCTACTTCTATGAATCTATGAACGAATCTATGAATCAGGTACAAACCACTATTGAAGACAGGATACAAGATATTAGATACTGGATGCTGGAGTTGGACTACTGCTCCAAATTAAAAATAAGACACAAATACACTAAACCCTCTAATTTAGGACTATCTATTCCATGGCACTTCTTTGGTGTGGAGCATATATCCATGGCTTCTGCATCCACATGAAAAGTCCTGTGATTGGCAAGTCGGTCCAAAAAAACTGAATAAATTCCACCCCCCAACCCAAAGCATTAAGATGCAGGTTAAAAGCCTGAGATTAGGTATGAATGCTGAGCTATGCCTTGGCATCACCACAGCAAGCTGACAGTGAAGACACCTGAGAGATTGTTGCAGGATCATAAAAACTTCCTTTGCTCTGAGAGATTTAAAGGAGCACTGTGAAGTAGAATCAACACCAAGATACATGAAACACAATACCTCTTGTTCTGACACTGACTCTAAGAAGGTCTATTATAATATATTGGAAGACAGTGTGTATGAAATTTCCTTGGCCCAGCAATGTAATGGGGAGTAAGAGGGGGTTTACTACTTCCCCTATAACAAAAGAAAAATAGCTCCATCTATAATGGAAATAATATCCCACCAGGTAAGACCAAATCTGCATAGCATCACATCAGGAACAAAGGGTTAAATATCAAGAAAAAAAAATGTATTTAATTCTATCCGTACTACAGAGTTCACTAAATTATGTCAGAAGTACAAGTGGCCTATGTTATAGACCACAAGAAAATATTTTTTTCAATAAACATACAGGCCCCAAAGCCCCAAGTCATAGGAAGGACCCCTAGGGCCTTGTTACACATTGCACTTTGGACTCCTCAAATATTGATAAGTGTTAGTGCCAGTTCAAGTTTGGAGAAGTTACACCTTAAGGTTAAAAACCTTCTCTGCCTGTCCCCCACCTGCACAGCTGTGAGTTGCCACTACAGAGCTGGTGGGTCAGGACAGGCTTCTATCTTTGATCTAGGTGAGGGGTGGGGGGGAGAGAGTGGGCAGTGTGAGATGGATTGTGGGGTGGGAACATGAAACTGGGAGGTGGAGAGGAAACGGGGATAGGGAAGGGTGGTGAAATGAAGGAAATCAGTCACTGAGGGATAAAATAAAAAGAAGTAAAAAAAAATAATTTACAAAGAAATAAAGAGGAATTAAATGAAAGACGGTCTCATGTTTTAATAAATTGGGATGTGGGATAAGAGTGTGAGGGGTGCTGGTTGTGCTTCCCAGGGTGGCTGGGAGGTGGGAGCAGTGCTGGAAGGTGCTTTTGGGGGAACTATTGCCCAGGGGCGTGTGTAGATGAAACAGGGACCCTAAATTGAAGTGGTGGGTTTTAAAAACCTTGAGGGAGTTTTAGTTTGCTGCGCTCCAAATTTCCTGTAGCAGCTGTAATTCATATGCAATACGCCACCGAGGCATGCAAACAAGACACCATTAAAGTGGTGCAAAAGCATTTAGCTTGCTTTAAAGTGTCATGCACACACGCCTCTCATTTCGCCTACACACAGCCCAGCTCATGGGGACCCAATCTATCCCCTACCTTGAACCCCCTCCCACTGCTCTAGATCCCACTCCTGGACCTGTCTATGCCCTGTGGCCTGGCTAGCTGGTGTGTGCTCTGCAGGCTGTTGTTTGCATGGAGTTGCACCCCTGGGGGTGAGAAAGTCATAGGCCAAGTGGTGGGAGGGAGAGTTGGCTTGGCACCAGAACTGCCAGGGGGCAATAGAGTTTAGGCGGTGGAAAGCTTGTCTATGCAGAACAAGAGCGTGGGGGAGGGAAGACTGCATCTTGGGATGCTGGTGAACAGCAACTTGGGCAGCTCATCTGTGGGGAGTGGCCACACATTAATGGAACATGAGCTGGATTACACAGATCAGAGAGAAGCCTGCCTTGGAGTGGTGCCTAAAGTGTGCTTAAAAGTAGTTTCAGGTGTTAATGTGTGGACAAGCCAGGGGTTAAGAGCTCCAGGCTGCCTAAAATTAATGTGTAACAAGGCCCCTATTGGCTTTGGTTCCAGCCCTGATCCGAAGCTCACCCAAGTCAATAGGAATTTTTCCATTAAGTTTGATGAACCCTTGCTCAAACCCACAGACAATGTGTATATGACAGGCTCAGCCTTTGACCCAGGGATCAGCAATATTTTTGACTGGAGTGCCAAAAACACCCCAACCCCAATTGATGCCTTGACTTGGTATGCCAGGGGCAGGCAGCGGGCCACAAGAGGCCCGATCCTCGTGCTGGTGGCCGGTGCATGCATGCCCCTGGGTGGATGGTGGGCGAGGGGCCAGGGTTGCACTGCCCTGGCCCCTTCCCTGCCATGGGCCTTGAGGCACGTGTGCAGCCGCTGCTGGCCACAGAGGCCAGGCTGCCCATAGCAGGCAGTAGGCAGGCTGTAAATGGGGTCCGGTACTGGCTCTGTGGTGGCAGCAGCTGCACATACTCCTCAGGGTTTATGGCAAGGGAGGGGCCTGGGGCAGCACAACCCTGGCCCCTCCCCTCCTGTCCACCCAGAGGTGCACTTGCCATAGAGCTCAGCTGGGGCTCTGGAACCTGGTACAGCTGTTTGCAGCCTGCCGACTGCCTGCCACAGCCGGTCCAGGCTCTGAGTAGCTGCTGTATGCCAGCTGTGGTAGGCCAAGCAAAATGGCCTTGCATGCCATGATCTCAAAGTTATAAATAATCCCCAGAGCTACAAAATGGACAGCAAATCTGTACATTTCTTATTGTAAATCTGCTAGAATGTTATTTAGAGAGATCAACTCAATGAGAAGAAAGCCCTAATTTCTTAAAATGAATCCTGTTAAATGAGCGATTCTCAAACAAAGTTGTATCAATTGCTCTGGAGAATTGCAGCATGTGTTTTCAACCTGTGGTTTGTGAACAAATGTCATCAAATTCCAAACACCATTATCATTCCGGGTTTGTAATGTGGAGGATGCCCCAACTACATCCCTGAGCAAACAGGAGAGCAAAGTCACAGTTCAGGAAAAGCTTAAGGACTACCAAATTATTGCATTGTGACCTAGCCATATCACAGTAGCCCACAGAGGTAGTGGTGACATGGGTCAGATAATAATTTTCCCTCACAGAAAAAAAACTTTGAAATGGAAACTTATTAGGATGCTTAGATCAAAAAATAGGTTTGGGTTTTCTTTAAGGTTTCAATAGAGTAAATGTATTTGATTTTTAAAAATTCAAGAGAGTTTGTTAGACTTATGCTTTCCCCTGCAATGTTTAAAGCTCCAATATATACTGCAGCTTGGAGTGACTCCAGAAGTACAGAAAGAACTAAGGTAGTTTATTTGCTCTCTCAGAATTTAGTGACATGAGAGAAAAAAAGTAATACTAATGGTAAAAAATAAATGATGAATTAAACATTCTTGAACTTTCCTTCCTTCCTTTCTGTCTTTCACTTAGTTTTGTTAAAAGGTGAAAGGTCCAACACATTCCACCAGCCCATTGGGACAGTGTGGTTAAGACACACCAATTTCTCTAGCCAACGACTTGCAAGGGAGACATGTGGCCAGCATCACATCCAGCAGCCTTTGACTCCCCACCCAGATGACTAGGTCCCCTTTTACAGATGGGTCAGCCTGAGTAGCCTATGTCATAAATCCAGAACAGGGATTGGACTTGTTCTTCCAGAGCTGTAGCGAGACACCTGGAGAGGTCTACCATTGCACCCCATTCTTGTTCAAAGAAACACCTAAAATTAGCATAATTTTAAAAAGTGAGAGAAATATGTCATATTTTAAATTGACAGTTTCCCTTCAGTATCAAGGTTTTATAAGTAGCCCAGGCAAGGCCATGTTTAACATGTGAATTTTAACCTGACAATCTCTCTTTAAATTGTGAAACATATATATATATATATATATATATATATATGTGTGTGTGTGTGTGTGTGTGTGTGTGTGTGTGTGTGTGTGTTTAATTGATATATATAGTTAGATATATAGATAAGATTTATTAAACCACTATATATTTTTCCTTTTGTATCTTACATATCCAGTATTTATCTGTTAAAAACCAAACAGATGGGCTTGCTATAGACCTAATCCTGACCGTTCTGTTTTAGATGTCATCACTTTTACACAACGAGACTTCAATCCTGCAGTCAGTTCTTTGCCTACAAACCTATGATACCATGCATAGCTCTTTTGAGGTCCTCACTCCCAGTATCTTGGATCTAGCTGAATAGATGCCCCCTAGCTTCCCTTTTAATACATTTTAACCGGAGTGTAGCAATCATTCTAATGATAACATGTATAAAATTATCAGACATCGCAGTCACTTGGCACTCTCAACTACAGCTGCTGAAACAGCCGGTTATTTCAACAATGGTAGGATTTGGAATCCTGAATAGTATATTAATTCACATTACTTAGACTGTCAGCTGTTTGGGGTGGACTTTGTCTTTTTGTTGTGTGTTTATACAGTGTCTAGTACAGCGGAGTCCTAATACATGCTATCCGAACACAAATAAGAATAATTTTAAATCATCTCTTAAAATTACTTGCATAGTAAACAAAGTACTTTTACACTGTATAACAGTTTATCAGTTCATTTACCAAATCACTGCCTCAGAAGACAGCACAGTGTACCTAACTGCAACACACAAATTGCTCTTCATATAGTAAATATAATGACAAGGCAACGAAGGCTTTTGAATATAATTATCATCAGTGTCATGATGACATATGTGAGTATTAGCGTTTGCACTTGGACATCCCCATACACTTATTTAAAATGAATAGAAAGTACTTACTTTCATCATTAGAAACATTCCCCAGAGAGGTGTGACTGGAATAACGTTTGTTTTCACTTTCATTGAGACATCTTTCAATCCAACTCTCTGCAAAATAACAGAAGTTGTTTTGGTTTTTTGGTTTAAGAAAAAAAAGGCAGCAGGATTTGAATCATTGACGTTGAGGATACAATACAACACTACAACTTGAGAGATGACTTTCTGCAGGACTTCAAGTAAGACTTGCCCTATCTGATGTTATCTTCAAGAAAAATCTTTGTTCTGTCTTAAAAAAAAATCCAGACCCAGATGTACCCATACACATTACAACTCTTCCTTGTGGAGACTAATAATTTATCTGATTCTCAAAGCCCTTTATTCCACTAATACTAATGTAATGTGACAAAATTTCAGGGGCTCTAATCTCCTGGATTACCCTGAAAATTATGTAAGAAATTGAAGCAAGAACACTACACGTACATTCTTCGGCCTCAGTCTTGTGGAGACATACATGTGGAGAGTCTCATTATTGACTTCACTAGGATTCTCCATTTGCATACAACTAAGCATATGTATAAATCTTTGAGGAATCAAGGCACAAATTCCCCTTTCTCAGGTTCAATCCAGGAATAAGGATGATGCAATGGGTGCTATGCCTGTGTAGACTTTCACTCTGTAAAGGTGCATGCTGGTTACAGGATTGGGACCCTGGGCCACAAAGGCAAGGACTGTGTCTTCCTATCTATTTGCTACTACAGTTCATAGAACAATTCATACAGTTCATAGCTCTGATTCTGACTGGGACATCTGGACATTACTTCAGTATAATGACAGAATATCAGTACAGTACTGTCATGTACACAGGCAGGAAGGAGTAAAGATTGGCCACAATGGCTAGCGACAGAAATTACACACAAACCAATTTAAGTGATCTGAAGCTGATTTAAACCTGTAACGGAATACAAGTTTGGGGCACATAAATTAGTTACAAAATGGCTGAAACTGGTTTAAGATAAACCTGACTGAAAGTAGTATCAGACTTAACTGATTTGGTCAAACCAGTTTATGAAACTTCTGTCCCAGACCCCTTCCTGGTTCAAGTTAAATCAGAGCCCCCCGGCATCCCAGCATGCTTTCCAGCCCTGGGCTGGGCTGTGCTATCTACTCCAGCAAAGAAGGGTTGGGGGAGCGGGGATGGAGAGGCAGGGACTACCCCTTCCCCCAGGCAAACCCCAGCTGGGGTCTGGTGCGGTGGGGAGGGGCTAAACCCTCTGAGTACAGAGCTGCCTTGCCCTGCCCTGCTAAACTTACTGAAAGTTACTGCTAACTGTGACTGTGGACTACAAATCACAGAGGCACCTAAAAGCAGGAAGAGGAAGTGATGAGCAACCTTGCAGAGTCCTGCTGTTGAGATTGTGGACTGCAAATACCAGAGACCTTGGGGGCAGCAGGAAGAGGAAGCAAACACATAAGCCATGCTAGCTGCATGCCAGAGAGCCATGCTTTAGCACCCCCAGCTTCTGACCTGAGCCACTGCAGGCATGTGGCTGCATTTCCTGAATCAAAGGTAAATGTGTGTCTAGTTGTTTCTCAGTTTAGTAGCTGCATCTTAGACTAACCTGCAAAGACTGAATCAATTCAGCCTTTGACTGTCTGTACTTAGGCAATGCGTTTCACCATTGGTGGATAAAAAAAGAGAGAAGCAAAGGCTGCAAAAGTGGCTCCATGTACCAGTCCAACTAAGCAGACCAACTGAGTAGACATGAACAAATTATTTAAAAATAAACAGCAAATAACCAGAGCCAAAAGAGAATTTATGGACATGTGAGTACCTGCACAATAGGCCTCTGTGAAGTGGCTAGTATTCACTTCAGATTTGGATTCGGCCGATTTGGGGGACAGTGATTTGATTCAGTGATTAGAATCACTGTCCCAGATTGATTCAGCTGAATCTGATTCAGAGATTCGGCTGCTGCCAAATCTCCAAATCAGCCAGGCCTACCCACCCCAGCTTGGCAATGGCTACCCTGCCTGTCCCAACTCCTGGCACTTGTTAAAGAAAAAGCCCTGACTCAGAGGGTGCTGCCAGGCAGGGGGGTGATCCCTGCTGCCCCCCACTGCCCCATGCTGCATGGGGAGCTCTGCCATGAGCCCCCTGACCCCCCCAGCTGTCCCCCATGGCTGTCCTGCCAACCCCAGCTCTGGCCCTTTAAAAAAAAAATGAAAAAACCCCAGACTCACCGTTCCTGCTAGTGGGGGCGCGATCCCTGCTGCCCCATGCTATGTGGGGGGCTCTGCCACGGCCCCCTGAAGCTCTGAGGCCACTGCAGGAGCAGAGAATCCCAGGGCTTTTCTCGGTTTTTTTTCTTAAAGGGCTGGTGCTGGCCAAGGCAGGGCAGCTGGGGGGGGGGGGGGGGCGGGGGGAGGGGGGAGGGGGGGGG